ACACGTCTGCTGCAGTGTTAATGGCGCTGTTCTGCAGCGCAGCGTACTATAGCCTATTACTTGATGTGTTAACGGGTCGGGTTGCGGGTTAAATATCAACGGGTCGGGTCAGGTTCGGATTTGAATTGAAGATATCCGCGGGTGACGGGTCGGGTTCGGTAGTCATCCTAACACCAAACGGGTTCGGGCGGGTGCGGGTTGGTAAAACTCAACCCGTGCAGGACTCTAATTTACAGTGGTTATGTTAAGTACTGCCCCCCCGTGTTTTAAGAGAATACTGACACCTATAGTATTGCCTAGTATAACCATCTACTGCTGTCCTATGGGAATCGCTTCCAATTCACACGGAGTGGAGCAACAACCCAACACATGAGTATAACTCAGCCTTTAGTTTAGAGGACGAGGCGTGGAGGAGCATGGGAGTTACAATGACGTCATTTGCTGAGTGGACCTGGAGGATAAATCTAGTTCATTCAGGACCAGGTTACTTTGGATGACTTTCCTTTAACGAATGAATCACAATTTCGAAACTGCAGAGTGTGGTAACTGATCATCTTTGTTTCACAATAAAACAAACAAGAAATACTTTTAAAAAGTAATGTAGCTCTGATAATGTGTCACGTAATAATCTGGTGACAGCTGTGATCAAAATAAATAATCATAACATGTTATTATAAATATACTCACCTCCATGCTGGAGTTAAAGGCTCTGTTGACCTTCGCCCCGATGTTCACCACTTGACCGACGCTGAGGACACAATGAGGACAGATGAGTGTTTTCTGTCTGGGTCGTCCAATCCTCACATGACCTTCCTGTTACCTGATGGTGTGCTCGAAGTGGATGTCGTCCATAGAGGCCGTGACGCACAGACTTCCAGCATGTCTCTCAGCTGCTCACATGAAAAAGAGTCATTTCCTGTCTGGATTAGCTTTGCTGGCCACATGCATCTATGAGAAACATTTCCAGTAAGCAACACACCTGAGAGGCAGGCGGTGGAGTCCATCCATTTCAACAGCTGTCCCACACTCAGCTCCTGCCGATGGTTACAGTGGAAGGGCATGACTATCTGACTCATTTTCACCTCCGTAGGGTTGATGCAATGCTCTTCATCCTCCTCTTCCTCCTCCTCCTCTTCCGTTCGATCTGACAACCTGGATATCATCCTCAAAGATAAATGATTACAATAAGCACCTCTTAGATTATTATGGAGTAAAGTTTGTTGCACTATTGTTGAAAACAAAGAACATATTTTGTAAATTGAAATTCGAGGGGAAAATGCTATCCAGAAATGAAACATTGAAAAAGTTAATCTAAAAAAAAAAGGTTTTAAGAGTAATTTTGCATTTATTTTATTTTATCATCTTTATTTTTTATCTTTTTTCTTTTTTATAATTTTTTTTTTATTTATTTTTTTTTCTAACTTTTATTTATTTATTTTTTTTCAAATCAAGTTTTACAAATTGTATTCTTTTCACATTGCATTTTACAGATTGCATTCTCTTAACTTTGAAAAAAAAAACACATCAAATAAATAAATGTAATCTAACAAAAACTTCCAACTGTTTTAATATTCTTTTTTTGTTTCTGCATTTTTTATTTTATTTTATTTATTTTTTATTTATTTTTTTATAATTTTTTTTCCTACTTGCTTTGATTCTGTTTTATCTTCCTATATATTAATCATGTAAAACACTTTGCATTGTCTTTGTAGTGAATTGTGCTATACAAATAAATTTGCCTTGCCTTGCCTTGCCTTAATACTGAATAGCTCGCTCTTGACCAATAAAAATGTTGCCAGCGTCCAGCAGACCAATAGAAATGCTCAGAGGAAAGCCGAACCCCAGAAGTGAAGATCAGGGGTCACCAATAAAAAAAAAAAAAAAAAATCAACAACCAGTAAAGGTCTGAAGACATTATAATATTATAATCAGAGATGGCAAAAGTAC